GTGTGGCTACTTTGGGAAATAGAGGAGAGAACAGGTTTTCTTGGTCCTGAGACTAATTCTCCTAGCGGTTCTTCTACAGGGCAACTGTGTGATATAGTACCCATTAGAATAACAAACACACAACACAACACAAAGGCCCTCCCTTGATCGTCGATTTGCTCGAGCGGGCCCAGTACCGTGTCCATTGGAGACTTTGTTGTTACTGTGTTTGGCATATCGAATACTCTCGGTAGCTTGCCGGGCTCTCCGAGAGGGGCGGAGGAATCGAACTCGGGTCGGCCATGTTGGCTGCTTGTAAGGCGAACGCCCTACCCGCTGTGCTATCACTCCAGCCATTGAAAATACAGGCACTGAAAATAAATGTGTGGACAATTATTTTTGCTAATAGAATGCAACACTGCAAAAGAAAAACACAATCAAGATAATTATAAAGCCAAATGTGGATTGAAATTAGTTTTTTTGGGGGGCCATACCTGGCAGTGCTCGGGGCTTACTGCTGGCTGTGCTGAGAGATTATTCCTGGCAGGACTCAGTGGACCACCCGGGGTGCTGGGGATTAAGTCCGTTGGCTGCATGCAAGGCAAACACCTTCCCTACAATACTATCTCTCTAGCTCCCAAAACCATAGTTCTTAAAATATTTCCCAGAGCATAACATTTAGATTCCTCTCCTTACTGCAATCACTTGTTAATGATAGGGACACAAATAATCTATTATTTCAGTATTATGCAAAATCACAGTACAGAATTAACCTTTACTAATCTAGATAGCATTATCTACTCCATAATTATAACTTTCATTTTCCCGTCAATAATAAAAGTATCATGCTGTAACTTTATAATCATATTTTAACTTTGGGATTCTTACAGTAACAGTTGAAAACACACATCATACAAGTGTACAAAAATGTTTCCCTTTAAAAAAGTACTCTAAAAGCGTTGTTCTATTTTCAGCCCCTGCCTCCTTTTCAAAACTTTGTTATGAGCCTAACATACCCAAGGTCAGGCTTGTCGATACTGTTTTCAGCCTCCCTGGCTCCTCTAAGTGGAGTAATGGAGGGTCTTCAGCGAGTTGCTTGCAGTGTTCTCTCCAACGAGAACAGAGACTTCTGTAAGAAAACGGCGGAAACTCTTCTCAGAGGACGTCATTCTTCAGAAAGATGTCTATGGGGGTTGGAGAGACAGGACAGTGGGTAGGATGCTTGCCTTCCACACGGCTGACCCAGGTTCATTCCCTGGCATCCCATATGGTCCCTCGAGCATCACAGTGCAGAGCCAGGAGTAACCCCTGAACATCACCAGGTGTGGCCCCAAAACAAGTAACAAAAAGGTGTCTATGTTGGTTTATTGGCGCATCGCAGATAACATCGCTGAACCTATTACGAAACTTTCAATGTTGAGGTCCACGTTTTTAAACTACAAGGAACTTCTTGAGTTCTGCAAGTTTCTGCTAGATTTATCACTGAGTTTCCTGTGGTGTTCCTTATCTTCTAATTCCCTCCACTCTTGCTTTCCCTCAGCTTTTCAGTCTTATTTAGTTCCAATCAACTGCTCAGTCAATTCCTCAAGAGTAATCTTTAGCCCTTCAAGTCATCTTCATCCACCCCCAGGTGCAAGATGCTTGCCAACTTGTCCAGTTTTGTTCCCTTTTACAACTTACTCATCCTTGGCAAATCTGCCAAAGTCAAGGTTGAAGCTTGAGTATTCTAGGCAGATGCCAATCAAACCCTCGGTGACCTCTTCACATTTTTGCAAGTCTGTGCAGTCTTAGATGTTGTAATCCTTTCAGAATGGTATCAGTGTCATCTCAGTGACTTTCTTCTGACCCAGATCAGCACTCACCAGGGCAAAGGTGCTCTCTAGGCAGTAGTCCTTTAAAAGTTGCAGTGACTCTGTAACCCATTTGTGATGTGAGATAAAAATAAAAACCTTTCTAGTATTGGGATAAAGATCACCAGCAAAAGGGAGAGAGTCCATGAGCATTACTAACAAGCAAAAAATTGAAAGCTATCTAAACAGAATTTGTCCACTTTACTATCACAGAAATCTAAGATCTTGGAAGAGGAGCTTTGTCACCCTTGAGTCTGTATGGCTCCGGAGTCCACTGGCCAGTGTGTGCACATGGAGATCGTTGTGGAAGTTTGTGAAAGATTTTTGATTTGCACCCTGAAACAGTGCTCAGAGGCAATGCATTCTGCCCGTCAAAGCCTTGAAATCTGGCACTGACTTATTCTCCAAAAGACTGAAGTCCTTTCAAGTTCCCATTGGCAGGATAAGGTTTTATCCATAATGAAACTTTTGCTCTAGTATATAATTTTTCTCCACGATTAGCCTATTTGGAATGTCCACTCTTTTCCTTGGCTCTACTTCAGCATTCACAGGCTCCCCACTCTCTTGGGCACTTTGTAATGACTATAGGACTGTTTGGAGGATCCAGAGTCAGCAATAAATGTAATGTTGTTTGGTTCAGCTTCTTCTGACAAGGAAACAACCTTCTTGCTTTGCTCATGGTTGTCACGGTGCCAAAAAAAAAAAAAAGCAACCAAGGAGGAAGTGATCGGTCATCCCTGGTCTATTTTGGTCACTACAAGTTCCTATATATCTGGTAAACCTCAAAATTTTGTGAATGGTTTTGTCGATTATCTGTCAAAGGCTGGAGCGATAGTACAGCGCTAGGGCGTTTGCCTTGCGTGCAGCCAGCCCAGCCAAACCGGGTTCGATTCCTCCGCCCCTCTTGGAGAGCCCGGCAAGCTACCGAGAGTATCTTGCCCCCACGGCAAAGCCTGGCAAGCTACCCGTGAGGTATCCAATATACCAAACACAGTATCAAGTCTCACAATGGAGATGTTACTGGGCCCGCTTGAGCAAATTGATGAACAATGAGAGGACAGTGCTACAGTTCAAGATTGCAACTATGATGAAATGTGGAGCATGTCAGTGAGTAATAACCATAACTCATTTTCCACTTTTGTTGTCCTTAATCTTTTCATTTACCGACGAATCATTTGATATGTCTCCCTGCAAAATTAGCAATAGCGTTTGTATGGTCAGGGGCCAGGATGAACATACAGGAGTTCCAATCAAACCAAAGGGATGCTATCGAGACTCAGTAAATGTTAGCTGTCTGAGGATTCTGTGGCTACCACATGATTAAGCACTAGGCATTTTGGGACCATGGTCGTGTGTATTTTGTCTTTCCGCTGTCAAGCACATCATTATTGAAAATGTAACCCAAGTCTTAACATCTACTCCAAACTCCTGTATTACTATAATCCACAAAATCCTATTCAATATCAAATTATTCTTAGACACGGTCTTCTAAATAAAAGAGTTTTTTGGGGGGATAGGTGTCAGACCTGGGACTGCTCAGAGCCAACTCCTGGCTGTATGCTCAGGGATAACTCCTGGCAGTGCCTGGAACACCACCTGTGGTGCCGGATATAAAACCCAGATCAGCTGCATGCAAGGCAATCACTTTCCCGCTTGATTACTTCTATGACCCCTAATGGGCTTTTAATTCACTTATCTCTGTACAGTAGAGGTAAAACACGTTTGCTAAGTTTTAAGACGACTGTTCTCTTAATATATGAATTTAATTTTTAAAGGCTAAGAGATTATCCACAAAAATATTTCAATTTTTTATTAATATCGGTTACATTTGAAGTACACTGCACCTTCTCACAAAGACTTAAAATGATTAGTAATATATATATATAAAGTGCAAGCTTAAGAAGAAAACCAGACTTATTCCACATCTGTGAAATGTAGCAGTTAACTTAGATTTACAATTATCAGAAGTAGGAAGAAGAGAGAAATCGGAGAGGGAAAGTACTATTCAACATCTGAAAAAGCAATTTATTAAATGAATATAATACTGGGAATTAATTACAAAAATAAAAAAAACCCTCTAAATCTATATCATAGTGGTTTACCTGTTAATTGTATAGCCTCGTTTTATTCTAAAAGGCCCAGTTTTGAAGATGTGTGGTCCACGTAAAAAAAAAAAAAAAAAAAAAAAAAGCACTCTATCTGAATTTTAGCAAAAATCACCTTGTTCTATTAGGTGAAATATAACCGATTTCTTTAAATGCCTTCTTTTAAATTACTGTAAAAGTCTGGAAGAGTATTTTTAAGTGAGTGAGCTGTTCAGTTTATTACATTCTTTCTGTCTCTCAGGACAGAAACCACATTTCTAATACACATTTCCACTTTGTGGAAAATATTCTGACAGATTTATTGTACCTGCCTATTTTTGACAGAGGCTGCAGGCAGCTGGGCTCAGGGCATCTGAAGACAATTCCCTGGTGACGCCCAGCCCTAGCAGGGCAGGAGATGGGTGAGCACCTCTGCCAAGCTGGGTGCAGGGCTGGGCCGGGCAGTGCTGGGGTACCAACGTTGGTGTCTGGGCGATGCAAGGGGGGCCGAGCAGTGCTAGGCTCGAACTCAGGGCATCTCACATCTTAGGCATATGTTGTACCACTGGAGCGATCTTCATGGCCCTATACATTTCAATAAAGACAAGAATTTTTGGTACTTTTTGCCAAAAAGTGTCCTTTTCTAGATCAAAAGCTAATCCTGGTTGGTGGGCCTGTTAATCTGTCAGCGGGATTTTAAACAATGATGTCCTAGAGTGTGTAACAAATACTGATAAACATTTAACTAGTAAAGAAAAAAATAATGGAGATTGTTATTCTTATGCTCCAGCAAGTATACCTTAGTAGGTGGGAAGCATATGCAGTTCAATGTAGCTGCATTAAAAACGCAAGCGCATTTATGACGCTTCATAACAAATATGCAGAACAGCAGGAATAGGGCTGGGGAGGTCAGTGGTCGGTGGCACACGCCTTGCCTTGCAGAGGCCTGGACCTGAATCATAGTCACAGGAGCCCGGCTGGGTGTGGTTCCGGCAGCTGTGGACCACGGTGAGGGTGCTGCTGTGGACTGTGACCAGATTTGCTGAGCATTGCCACGAGGAGCCAAGGCCTGGCCCCTAAGCACTTCTTTCTTTCTAGGGCAGGGGGCGTAGTGTTCCGGACTTACTCCTGGCTCTGTGCTCAGGGCCACTTCCTGGTGGGCTCGGAGTTATGTGGTATTGGGGTTTAAAGCAAACCGGCTGCCTGCAAGGCAGGTGCTTGGACAATCGCTCCGGCCTCGTCCCTACGCACTGCTGGAAGACCTCCACCAAAACACCCAAACAAAACAGTGACGAGAAGATAAAAATGAAACGAGGGCCTTTTAAACAACTAAACATAAAGCAGATATAAACATTTTAAAAAATGAAGCTGACTCACAGATCCCAGGAGACTTTTTCAAAAAGTGAAATAGTAAAGGCACTGTATATTTTCTTTTTCCTAGCTCCAATTATTAAGGAAATTAATTCACCAATGACACTTGGCACAAAACACTTTAATCTTATAAAGTGCATCATATATAATTTTATAAAGTTAAATGTGTTAAAAAGAACGTCAGCCTGATTACACTACAGCAGATTAGTCACATATAAAGAAATAATGTAATGCCAGGAGTCAACATAGTTAGGAACTTCGTAGTAATATGGCTTTTTTATTAAGATTTTTGTTTACTGTTTGCCTCGAATTTATGGTCTATTTCCTAAAGGAAAATAGACCATAATAGCCTTGATTAGCAAAAAGAGGTAGTGTTCTCAGAGGCAAACTTACCAATTCTAAGTGGAGACTTAAAGTAAATATAGAAGAAAAATATGTAACATAAGAAGCTGGGACACTTATAGTTTCCGATTATCAATTAATTAGCTTTTAACTTGAAAGCTATCAGTTTTGTTATTCTTCTATTTTTTTTTAATAGTTTCCCTTTGGTTGGTACTAGAAAGTTTCCTTTTTTAAATAGCATAGCACTCCAAATAAGCAATTTTTATTTAAAGATAATAAACAGGTTATTATTTTAAATTCAACTTTCAACCACCGATTTAAACAAAAGTGAAAACATCATGTCAAAGAGCAAAGTATCCACCAACCAGGCAGTAACATGCAATTTTCACTTGAGTAGTAGAACAGACCCAAATACACACACACAAGATACTCACGTCATCACACTCACATCCATGTTACTTTGGAGCAATCCACTGTCCAAAACACCACAATAATTTATGCACACTATTTAAGAACGTGGAGCTTGGTAACAGAATTCTTAACTAGAATTTTTTTTTAGTATATTAAGTACAACAGTTGGCTAAAGGATCATTTAAAGCAGCAGTGAATATATTTCTTATTACAATAACTTAAACTGTATGTAAACTTTATACATGTGCATCCTTACAGTTTTCAGTAAATGTTTCAGTCTTTTTTAAAATTTACAATTTTTGCCACTCTGGAATGGGAACAAAGACGAAATATTTGCCACTCTATTCTAAAGCTGATAAAACAGACATATACAGAACTGCTTGTGAAGCTTCAGTCTTCTTCAGCATTATATGCCACTTCTGCGACTTCTATCTCTGACACAGAATTTTCAGGTTCACTAAAACTTAAGTGTGGCTTATTACCAACTCTGTAAAGAAAGAGAAACACATCAATGAAGAGACTGGATAGATGCTATTTCATTTTCCATAAACTTAAAAAAAAACCTCTTAACATATGAAAAGCATATTTTTGTACTCAATGAAAAATATAATGAGAAAGTATTTAAATAATTTTGTTTTTGCACCATATCCAGCAGTGCTCAGGGCTCTGCACTCAGGAATTACTCCTGGCGGGGACTGGGGGACCATATGGGATGCCGAGGATTGAACCTGGGTAGGAAGTTTGCAAGGCAAGCTCCTTACCTGCTGTATATCATTGCTCTAACCCCCTAGAAAGTATTTAAATTGCTAATCAGACAAAAAATTTTATTTTTTGTTGGTGGGGGAGGGGGTGGGGGGGTGCATCCCATGCGGTGCTTAGGGAGTCTAGGTGCCTCTCCTGATGCTACTAGGTCAGATGGCTCACACCAGGGCTGAGAGTGCCATTCCGGCGCTGTTATTGCTAAACCCATGATACTTGGGGTCAACTAGAAGTTAATATTTTATTTTATTTTTTGCGGGGCTGGAGCGATAGCACAGCGGTAGGGCGTTCGCCTTACAAGTGGCCAACGTGGCCGACCCAAGTTCGATTCCTCCGCCCCTCTCTGAGAGCCCGGCAAGCTACCGAGAGTATCTTGCCCGCACGGCAGAGCCAGGCAAGCTATCCGTGACGTATTCCATATGCCAAACACAGTAACAACAAGTCTCACGATGGAGATGTTACTGGGCCCGCTCGAGCAAATTGATGAACAGGAGGACTATGACCAACTGTGACTTGCTTTTTGGGTCACATCCGGCAATGCACAGGGGTTATTCCTGGCTCTGCACTCAGGAATTACTCCTGGCGGCGCTCAGGGGACCATATGGGATGCTGGGAATCGATCCCAGGTCGGCTGCGTGCAAGGCAAATGCCCTACCCACTGTGCTATTGCTCCAGCCCCGGAAGTTAATATTTTAAAGTCATCACTTGCACGTGGCCGGCCGGCTGAGCTGGGTTTGATTCCTCTGCCCCTCTCGGAGAGCCCGGCAAGCTACCCGTGAAGTACTCGATATGCCAAACACAGTAACAACAAGTCTCACGATGGAGACGTTACTGGGCCCGCTCGAGCAAATCGATGAACAATGGGAGGACAGTGCTACAGTGCTACTGTCATATAACTCTTCAAAGTTTATTTTGGACTCTTCCAGCTCTCTCAACTACCGCTTACCAACATAAATCTAGTCTGCAATTACTTTTGCCAACAGAAACTCCATGTATATCACAACATTAGAAGCTCTGCCATTTAAGTACTGAAAACGACCTTGAGTTTATAAGTAAAACATATTATAAACCTTCAAATGCACCATGGTTTAACTAGGTAGGCAGGGTCATACTGTTATATCATCCCATATTTTTGAATGGAAAAAGTAACACTGAAGGAGATAAAAGATTAAAAAAAAAAAAGGGCCGGAGTGATAGTACAGCAGGTAGGGTGTTTGCATTGCAAGCAGTTGACCCAGGTTCGATCCTTGGTATCCCATAAGGTCCTCTGAGCACCGCCAGAGGTAGCTCCTAAGCATTGCTGGGTATAAACTACAAAGCAACAACAACAACAACCACCACCACCACCACCACAAATTAATAAAATAACAATTCGGTCAGTGCTAAATGTATGTTTACCGAGTCAGTGCTCGGTTAATAAAACATACTTTCTGAAAAAGGCGAATAAAAAAATGTAGAGCCTGGATACCAAAATTCACCCTTAGGCGCTGGCTAGAATATCTACGGTCTGTTTCCGTTTTTTTAAAGGTAATTAATGATGAAAATCTGATTTCATAGATAGTACTGTATCACTATCATCCCGTATCACTGTCATTACTCGAGGGGGCACCAGTAACGTCTCCACTGTGAGACTTGTTACTATTTTTGGCATATGGAATACGCCACCGGGAGCTTTCATAAAAAGTAAGCTACAGAATTATAATTATTTCCATGCCATGATTAGGACGATTAGAGTGTAAGACATTAGACACTATGTACCGAGGTTCTTCTTCCAAGGCCTCTCGGTCCCCAACAGGTGCAGTGCACTCCACCTTCCGGTCAGACCCGTCTTCTGCCTCATACATGTGCAGTGACCCTGCAGGATCTAATGACAGTGTTCTGAAAGATAGTAAGAGCAACCAGTGAGAGTCTATGAGGAAAATACGCGTGCTTATTATTGCGAATACAGGAGGCCTTAGTAGTCTTCGGCTACAAAGTCTTAATACAGTCATCTGGTGAATGAACTACTGATACAGAGTCTAATGATTACTTTCTAAATTTAAATGATTTATCTAAATTTAAATGATTTAAATGATTTATATTTTATTTCTGATATTTTTTCTTTTAATTTGCATTGATTCCGGTTTTCAAAGCCGCATATAACAGAGCTGTTTCAGACAGACATTCTGACGCCAGTCCCACCAACAATGCCCCAGGTTCCTTCCTGCCCCCAGCCTGCCCTTGACAGGAATGTTATGAATTTATTTCACATGACTTGTTCCATAAAAACTTAAAGGAATGGCAAATGGAATTATCATAAAATAAATCAGTAAGTGAATTAGTGATGATTGGTTACTGTATGATTTTAACCTACGTAAAGAAATTCAAATGATGCACTACAATATAGTATACTGTCTATCTTCATAACTGAATTTTCAACTCTGGCACCTAAAATATATTGCTGCGTGCTATATTTCAATCTTACTGTGGTAATTATCATGCCTTCCCTGCGATAAAGCTTTTCATAAACAAAATTCTGTGCCAATATATTTTAGAGTTCCATGAAATGGGCAAAACCTACAAAAGTAAAAAAAAAAAAAATTTTTTTTTTTTTTTTTTTTGCTTTTTGGCTCACACCCCGTGATGCATAGGGGTTATTCCTGGCTTTGCACTCAGGAATTACTCCTGGTGGTGCTCGGGGGAACATATTCCCATGGGATGCTGAGAATCGAACCCACGTCGGATACGTGCAAAGCAAACTCCCTACCTGCTATGCTATCGCTCCAGCCCCATAAAGTAAAATCTATTGAGTGAAGGGAGGTAAAGGTAAAGGTAAAGGCCCTCCCGTTGTTCATCGATTTGCTTGAGCGGGTCCAGTAACGTCTCCATTGGAGACTTTGTTGTTACTGTGTCTGGCATATAGAATGCGTCACGGGGAGCTTGCCAGGCTCTGCCGTGCGGGCGAGATACTCTCGGTAGCTTGCCGGGCTCTCCGAGAGGGGCGGAGGAATCGAACTCGGGTCGGCCATGTTGGCTGCGTGCAAGGCAAATGCCCTACCTCTGTGCTATCGCTCCAACGGGAAAATATAAACAGTTGTATAATAGTACAAAGAGTACCAACAGTACAAAGCACTAAGAATCCTAAGAAAAGGAATATTGGTTTTATGTCAGAAAAAATATTATAGATACTGCTTACGTGTCTGCATTAAGTGAAATATTTCAATAAAAATATCTCTGGCTGTTAAAAAAAAAAAACCTGATCAAACATAGGTCAATACAGATATTAATTCATTATTGAAAAGGTGTAAAAAGTCCCACAGTAAACTGGGAATAAACATCCCTTTTTTAATCTAGCAAAGGGAGACACAGGTGCCTTTAGTGAGTGCCCTGCACATTAGGGTTTGTCCTAGTGAAGCTCTTTTAATGCTTCTTACAAAACTGGTTTCAGGGGCTAGAGCAATAGCACAGCTGGTAGGGCGTTTGCCTTGCACACAGCTTTCTGGGTCACACCCGGAGATGCTCAGGGCTGCAGTAAGGAATCACTCCTGGCGGGGCTGGGGGACCATATGGGATGCCGGGGATTGAGCCTTGATCAGCCGTGTGCAAGGCAAATGCCCTCCCCGCTGCACTGTCACTCCAGCCCTGAGGAGTCCATTTTGTTGCGTTTTTGTTCTGTATCTCTCCATTCTCTTCTGGCTTGTAGAATCTCAATTTAAAAATGCTCTTAACACTGATTCAACATATTTTGATGAGAAGGCCAACTAGAATCTTCATATGCAAAGTACTGCCACGTATGGCCCTCACCCATTGAAAAAAAAAAAAGGCCTAAAATGTACCATTTAAATAGATTAAAATGCACATTAATAATTGAACAGGTAGAGCTTATTTTTTTGAAGTTTCTTCCCACTCTCCAAATGTGCAGTCACCGAAATAATCCAGGCAAGTTTCCGGTCTACCAGTAATCTGCAATTTCCTGAGTCATAGCAAAATACAAAGGGTATTAGCCAAGAGGACTGAGAGCGGAAGTGGTCAGACCAAAAATACAAGTACCGCAACATACCTGAACCTGCTCTGGAGAGCGTCTAAGAAAAGCTGCTTCTCGCTGAGTAGTTTCTTCAGCGATTCCACTTCTTTTTGTTTTTCAAGGAGTTCCTTCTGTAAACGGTAGTTCGTCTCTTCTAAAGTTTCACAAAAAGCCTTAGAAACAATGAAACACATACACAGAATCACTTACACAATACTATTCTTCACAGCGCAAGTTTCTGAAACTGTGTGGGGCCTTCCAGAAACGAAATGTGTAAGTCACAGAAAAGTTAGCAGCAATATAAGGTTTCCGAATGTGTCAACTCAGCAACCAAAAGCCAATTCTTTTTTTTTTTTTTTTTTTTGCTTTTTGGGTCACACCTGGCTCTGAACTCAGGAGTTACTCCTGGCGGTGCTCAAAGGACCATATGGGATGCTGGGAATCGAACCCGGATTGGCCGTGTGCAAAGCAAACGCCCTACCCGCTGTGCTATCTCTCCAGCCCCGCCAATTCGTCTTTGATTTGACTTTTACATGTGGCATTAGAAAGACATCTGAGTTCAATTTTTTTTTTTTTTTTGCATGTTGCCAACCAGATTTCCCAGCATCATTTATTGAAGAGGCTTTCCTTGCTCCACTTTATATATCCCTGTATCAAAGATTAACTGACCATCTACCTGAGGGGCTGCCTTTGGATTTTCAACTCTATCCCACTGATCTGAAGGTCTGTTTTTACATTCAGAGGGAGACACAGACAGGGGAGGTTCTCACTCGGACATGGCGTATAGAGATACACTGTAGGGGAATAACTAAAACCCCACGGCAACAAAAATCAAGAGCACCAGAACTGGTCCTTGGTAGGGACCTTACCACCGGGAGGGCAGGGGAGGTGGGAGGAATCAGGGAAGAGAGCACTGCAGTGAGAAAGGAAGTGGTTACTCTGGCCCAGGACTCAGTGCTGTAGCACTGTAGCACTGTCCTCCCGTTGTACATCGATTTGCTAGAGCAGGCACCAGTAACGTCTCACAGCAAATTGTGACACTCTTGTTACTGTTTTTGGCATGTCGAATATGGCATGGGTAGCTTGCCAGGCTTTGCCGTGCAGGCGGGATACTCTCGGCAGCTTGCCAGGCTCTCAGAGAGGGGCAGAGGAATTGAACTTGGGTCGGCCACGTGCAAGGCAAACACCCTACCCGCTGTGCGATTGCTCCGGCCTGGAGGTAAAGGGATACGCACAGTAAGGTAAACCACAGTGCTGAAAAGGGTGGGGGGGGGGATGGGGAAGAAAGACGAGTAAGACTGCCTGCTTGGGGGCTGGAGAGATAGCACAGTGGGTAGGGTGTTTGCCTTGCATGCAGCAGACCTGGTTCGATTCCCAGTATCCCATATGGTCCCCTGAGAACCGCCAGGAGTAACTCCTGAGAGAAGAACCAGGAGTAACCCCTGTGCATCACTGGGTGTGACCCAAAAAGCACAGTCACGGTCACGGTCCTCCCGTTGTTCATCGATTTGCTCGAGTGGGCCAGTAATGTCTCCATCATACTTGTTGTTACTGTGTTTGGCATATCGAATATGCTACAGGGAGCTTGCCAAGCTTTGTCATGCAGGCGAGATACTCTCGGTAGCTTGCCAGGCTCTCCAAGAGGGGCGGAAGAATTGAACCTTGCTTGGCCGGGCCAGCTGTGTGCAAGGCAAATGCCCCACCGCTGTGCAATTGCTCCAGCAAAAAAAAAAAAAAAAAAGAAAAAGAAAAAAGTGCCTGCTTTTTCTTTCACTGATCCTATATGGATTTAGTTCAGTTTAAAAATTAAATACTTAGATATGTCATATAGTTGCTAAAATCTTGCACTCTGTTCTCTATCTTTTTTACCATTAAAAGAAAATTAATTTGGGGCTAGAGCGATAGCACAGCAGGTAGGGCGTTTGCCTTGCATGCAGCCAAGATGGCCGATACAGGTTCGATTCCCAGCACCCCATATGTTCCCCTGAGCACTGCCAGGAGCAATTCCTGAGTGCATGAGCCAGGAGTAACCCCTGAGCATCGCCGGGTGTGACCCAAAAAGCAAAAAAAAAAAAAAAAAAAAAAAAAAAAAAATTAATTCAAAATTTGACAACATTTACAAGTATTTAAATTAAATTTAAAAGTATTCAAATGGAATTTAAAAATTTATTTTACTACGGTAGGGCGTTTGCCTTGCACGCAGCCAACATGGCCGAGCCGAGTTCGATTCCTCTGCCCCTCTCGGAGAGCCCGGCAAGCTACCGAGAGTATCTCGCCCACACGGCAGAGCCTGGCAAGCTACCCATGATGTATTCGATATTTCAAACACAGTAACAATGAAGTCTCCAATGGAGACGTTACTGGGCCCGCTCGAGCAAATCGACGAACAACGGGAGGGCCTTTACTTTACTTTACATTTAAAAGTATTACTTGAAAAAGACCATAGAGGCAGGCTGGGCTGGGGTGATGCAGATACCCCAACCGGGGGCATATCCCTGGTAGGAATGATTACTGAACACAGAACCAGGAATAAGCCACCTCTGAGTATAGCCCCCAAACCAAAAAAAAAAAAAAAAAATTGAAAATGTTTTTAAAAACCTGAAGTTTATTTAGGAATCTCATAGATGACATACTGAAGATACACAGTTACTAAGTTGTTCATTGGATTTCAGTCACACACTGTTCCAACATCATCCCTTCAACAGTGTACATTTCCCACCCCCAATGTCTCTAGTTTTCTCTTCGTCCTCTGCCCCCAGTCTGCCTCTACGGCAGGCACTTTTCTCTCTCTCTCTCTCTTGCTCTCTTTCTCCTTCCTTTTGGGCATTACGGTTTGAAACATAGGTACTGAAAGGTTACCACGCAAGCTGTCAATCACTCTAATACAAAGAACTCACACAGTTTAACAGAAAACATTACAAACCTACCAATTAAGTTTGTTCCTTTTAGATAATGCCAAACATTTTGGGTGGGGTGGGGACAGCCAATCTACTATTACTACACTCTGCTTTGTGAGTCTGGCCTAACTGCTACAAGAAACAGACTTTAACACATCAAAAATGCAATTTAAGCAGCATCAGACTTGATCTGAGTTGATGAGACATAACGGCTAAAAAGAAGTTTCAAACTTAATGGTAGGTTTTTAACACCAATGCTTAGAAAACATCCAAAGAAGACTTTTAAAACGCAGTAAAATGAATTTCAAAATAATTTTCTTTCAGTGGTAAAAAATACTGAGCACAAAGTCCAAGATTTCAGTTAGTGACTACATGACATAGCTGAGTATTTCATCTTTAAGCTGAACTAAATCCATATACGGTCAGTGAAAGAAACCTTTGACTCAAGCAGTCAAAGCTTTCTGTGCAAAATTACCAAGTCTGAAATGATGCTTAATTATTTTCTTCATTTAAGAAACAATGGCGTTACTGTAGTATATTATGGGTTTCTCCTCCGTACGGTACATGTGATACACAGCACTTACCCGGCTTTCTTCCAGGCTGTCAAATGGGCCCGGTGGATCGTCCAGACAAAGGAACTCTCTCACTGCAAGGCTTCCCAGAGGGAAAGAGAGAAAACACACCATCAGCTAGGGCATAAATAAATTTATAAAAGACATAAAGCAAAAAGCAAAAGTTACTTTGAAGCTCTACAACGTTTAAAGCAAGTTGAATTTGCCTGCCGATAAGCCCAAATAAAAGAAAGCTGGTTTGTGTCTTCATACAAAAATTCAAACATGAAATCTACTGAACATCTACAATTTTTCAGTATTAACAGATTATGAAATTTTTCTCCCGACTACATACATGAAACATAATTCAGACTGGCACAGGAAACCAACCTAAATGCTTTTCAAAAGAATTTGTATTTTAATTAATCACAAAACTCATATCCTGTTAGAAGTTAATGTAATTTCTAATTCAAACTTCATTTATCTCGTCTTAAATGGCTGCTTCTAATGAAAACTTTTTTTTAAGCTAGAGTAGTCTTGGAACCATACTTATATAAAACTTTTCCTAGATAGAACAAGAAAAAAAATTAGCATTCCATTTCTAAAGTACTATAAATAACAAAATAATGAAATATTATACTTTGCAATGAACAGAAATAGGTTAGGAAGGCAGATAACCTAAGTTCTTTGTTACAAAAATTCTCTCAAGCAATTCTGGACAGAGAACTCTGTGAGTATGTTCAAACAAATATGGAGACAAATTTAGAAATAAATAGGTGAGAATATCATTTCCTAATATGCTACACTAATTGACTATAAAGGTGGTGTATTTAGGGTTTAGTTTGGGTCATTAAGGATAATTACTGACAGAGGAAGATCATAAAAAGAAAAATGGGAAGTTTAAGGACTCTTCCAAAAGAACATACCCCGAGTATCCCTTAGGACAATTATCGAGACTGGTTTTTTTTTTTTTTTTTTTTGCTTTTTGGGTCACACCTGGCGATGCACAGGGGTTACTCCTGGCTCTGCACTCAGGAGTTACTCCTGGCGGTGCTCAGGGGACCATAAGGGATGCTGGGAATCAAACCCGGGTTGGCCGTGTGCAAGGCAAACGCCCTACCTGCTGTGCTGTCTCTCCAGCCCTGAGACTGGGTTTTTATTTATTATCACTTTGATTGTGTGGTGATGGGGATCTAACCCAGGGTCTCTCGTTTGCAAGTTGAACACTCTGTCACTAAGTTACATGCTTGGCCCCCTGATTTTGTGTTTAAAAGAAAAAGAAAAACAACCCTAAAAGCACGGGCCAAAATTTATTAAAAGGTTCGCTAAAAACTAGGTAAAAATGCATTGAAAACACCAAATATCAATTGTCAATACCAAAATTGCACAAAAAGTCACTGTATAAAAAGTACTGGAAATGTCTATGATAGGAAAAGTTTTCTTTCGGGGTCACACGCGGCAGCACTCCAAGTGTTGTTCTGGTTCTGGGCTTAGGGGTCATACCTGGCAGTCCTTGGGGTGGGGGGGGAGGGGGGGACCCATCTTCAGTGTTCAGGGATTGAACCCGGGTCAGCAAAAGCAAGGCAAGGGCCTTAACCTTTGTACTATCTCTCTGGCCTGAGACAGAAATGTTTTATCAGTTTTCCTCCAGAGTTGCCACTTCGTTAAAATAACAAGCAGCAAGATATGAACTATAACCCCGAGGGTAAGGGCAGGTGGGTGTAAGGCCGAGGGGCTCACGCTGAGCTCTCTGGGGAGGCTGTGAAGGCCGTTAAGGGGACTTAGATTAGACCCTGATCTTCTCTCTAGTTACTAAGTGCTCGCCTGTGTCCCTCTACTGGGTTTCCTTTCTTCTAATCCAGAATATTTCAAAGATGTATGCATTAATCTCAAGCCTAGCTTAAAATCTACACGTGCCTCCTTGATCAAAGAGGGAAAAGTCCCGCTCCTCAGTGTTGATCTAAGGCACCCGCCTAGATTCACGTTAAATTTCCTACTCGACAATCCTGTGATCTCCCAGGAGCATGACGCTGCTTCTTGCATGCTTCTGTGTTTTCCCTCATGCAATTAATCCTAGAACATTCTTTCTGCCGTTTCCCGACTAACTCATGTTATTCTTCATGACTCACCTCATTTATTACTAACAGCATCTTCTTTGATGAAGTTCCCTTTTCCTATTTCTCTAAAAGGGTTTAGCACTCTTATGCAGTTCATACAAATAAACCATAGTTTCTTGAAGATACCTACCTCCTAAGACTTATTATATAGTATTATTAATATTTTCTGTTTACCAAGCATTCCGCTTCACTGAAAATTAGATGACAGTTCCTGGACTGTGTAAAACATCATAGGATCAAGCAGAAAAGCATAAGTATTCAACAAATATTGAATTTGTAAGAATTATATAATTAGGAAAAATAAACTATGAATGCAACAGAACAAATTTCTGTCCACTGTTATACCATTGTACAACTCACAAATGTGAAGACTGACTTTTCAACAGATGCCTGAACTTTCATATAAAAGCAACTGCCTAAAATGACTCCATTACTAAGCTTAAAAAATTAAGTCTTGTGTAAACTCTCAGATATTAATTTAGCTAGGTAAGAGTTTGCATGTAGCTGAATAGAAAGAATTGTTTTTTTTTTATAATAGTGCAAATGTTTATGGTTTTTTTAAAAATTTTTATTAGTGGAACACCATGAGGTACAGTTGTAGACTTACAAATTTTTGTGCTTGGGTTTCGATTATACAATGATCAAATACCCATCCCTCCACCAGTGCCCATTTTGCACCACCACGGGTCCCAGTATCCCTCCCACCCCCCTTCCCCCCATCCCACCTTGCCTCTGTGGCAGGGCATTCCCTTTTGTTCTCTCTCTCCTTTTGGGTTGTGGTCTGCAAAAGAGGCACTGAGTGGCAATCATGTTTGGTCCATAGTCTACTTTCAACTTGCATCTCCCATCCAGGGAGGATCCTCCAAACACCCTTTATTTGGTGCTCCCTTCTCTATCTGAGCTGCCCTTTCCCCTAGCATGCCCGGCTGGCCTCTAAGCCATGGAGCAATCCTCCTGGAACTCTTCTCAGCTATTCTTGGGTATTAATCTCCTATTTTGTTACTTTATGTCCCCCAGATGAATGCAATCTTTTTATGTCTGTCCCTCTCTTTCTGACTCATTTCTCTTAGCATGATACTTTCCATGTAGTACCACTTGTATGTAAATTTCATGACTTCATCAGAAAGAACTGTTTTCACTGCAGTTTTCTACAAAACTAATATTTGAGGAAGTCATCTAACTTAATGGAGTCTTCAAAAGCCAACCTGCAGACCATGATGATCTGTAGTTGTAATACCACTGGTCTACAAGAGCAATGGTTCCCAACCACATCCACATACATAGGTGTAAAACAATTGAATGCCACAGTTATAGCCAGCCTTGGTAATAACATGCTGATTCCCACGAGATGAAATTAAGTATGGCATACATAACTGAATCTTATCATTTTATAAAAATATAGAACGGACTCAACATCTCTCGATAACACCTTATTTTTTAAAAAATAGTGCGGTAATAAAATCTCCTTAAAGACTGCTGATTAAAAAACTTAATTATTATTGCTTAAGAACTAAAGAATTACTGAGTTTTATAACTAGAGGTGACCTTAGAAAATAATCTAATCTAATATATTCCATTTAATAATTTCATCTTTAATTGCACTGATTGTTATCTCTAAGAGTAAGGTAAAACTCATTTTCTCAAAAATCTGACCATCTTTATATATTGGAGAATTATGAAATGATACAGAACTTTCTTATCTAAATAGGGCCTGACTCTCACTTCTCACTCCGGACGAGTGCTGGCTCTTCACGTCACACTGCTATTCAAGAGGATGTCCGCACACCTTATCAAGATCATTTAAAAACCCATTAAAAATTCGGACTCTTGACTTCAGACTCGCTGGTTTATGACCGGAATTTTAACAAGCTGTATACAATTGGAGAAGCAATGCTTAAAATGAAATGTTACTTTTTAGAAAAGAAATTAAATAAATGATAACGTTGCTGTGAACGTTGGGGAGAAAGTGACAGTGACTCTTTTTTTGCGTTTTGACCCACACTGGGGTGTGTTCGACACTAAGGATCATGCCTAGCTGGGCCAGGGCTACTTGTGGGGCCCGAGACTGAACCTGGAGTGACTTCAGGCAAGGCAAGTGCCTCCCCTCTCTCTCCCTGACCCAGTGATTTTAAGTACTTCTGAGTCCAGATTTAAGTCTGTCTCTCTCTCTTGTTTCTCTCCCTCTCTCTTCTCTCTCTCTCCCTACCCCTCTCTCCTCTCTCTGCAATGTTTCATATACCCTGGGAGATACGTTAACATATCCAACTTTAAAGGGACCCAGCACCAGCTGTGAAACTACAGACCATGTTTTGCTTTAACCTCAAACGAAATAACCAAGGTATTGCTGAGGGGGTGATTTTGGATAAAGACCGTTCTGTTGCCGATAGGAATTAACCGGGAGAAGAAGAGGAAGCAGATGCGAGGAGCATACTTACTCACTCTGGGAGAAGCCTCACGCACTAACCACTCTGCAAACCTGAGCGTGGAGTTTTACTCCAAAACTACATTTCCTTGCAGAGAAGCAGCTGCAAAAAACTTAGGTATTGGGCTGGGCCTCAACCGACACATGACCAATGTCTCCTAAGCTAGCTGAAGGCACACCCAGTGCAGCTCAAAAACAAACAAGACTTGAAAACAGGCAGAGAAGGTAAAGGCGTGTGTGTAGCTTTTTTTTTTTTTTTTTGCTTTTTGGGTCACACCTGGCGATGCACAGGGGTTACTCCTAGCTCCGCACTCAGGAGTTACTCCTGGTCATGCTCGGAGGACCATATGGGATGCTGGGAATCGAACCTGGGTTGGCCACGTGCAAGGCAAACGCCCCACCCGCTGTGCTATCGCTCCAGCCCCTGTGTGGAGCTTTTTAAAAGCATTGATCACAGCCAGTTTTAAGCAACGTGTGACACGTTTAACCAATATCCTATCTGCATTACAAAGAGATGCACAAGCCTTCCTATCAGCGTGGTTTAATTTTCAGCCAACCTTCTTGTCTTTAGTTGTTTAGAAACTAAATATTTATGTTCAACAAATCCCTTCATTAAGAAGCTTTACAATGAACACTCAAAAAAGTCAAATGGCACTTGACTATCCTTCTCCCCATTAGTGAAGATGGCTATTGTGACCCCCTTCTGAAATAAAAAAAAAAAATTAGTATTCTCATTTCTTTCTATTGTTTCCTCATGCAAACTACATTTCAGACACAAACAACAAAAAACTATCCTATGGGGCCGGGCTGGTAGTCCAGCAGGGAGGGCATTTGCGGGGAGGACGTTTGCCTAGCAAGCCTCCATTGACCTGGGTTCAATCCTTGCCATCCCATATGATCCCCCAGGCACCGCCAGGAGTAATTCCTGAGCGCAGAGCCAGGAGTGAGCCCTTCAAAAAAAAAAAAAAAAAGAAAGAAAGAAAGAAATCCCATGAGTTGTTAATCCATATCCACCCTGAATTTAAAAACCAAAAACAAGTCATACCCATATGTGGCATATGTAGCAGGGTTAGAGGCTTTGAGGGAATCCAGGGATCCAGGGACAATGGTGGGAGGAAGAGGTCACACTGGTGGAGTGTGTGGGCTGCAGGTGGCACCCAAGAAAAATGATCAATAACAGTATGGGGCCCCTTGGAGGGGAGCAGGTTGAGTTTCCCTCCCCGCCCCGACCAGGGCTCCGGTGGCCAAAGACCTCCAGAACCAGCCACCACCATGCTGAGACCACTCTCCGCACGCATGAAGGTATCGGCAGGGGAACAAAGGCATGCGGGTCCCGGGGCTGAGATCTCCAAGCCTACTCGGATCGGGGCTGAGCATCTTCCACCCAGATCCTCTAAATTCCAGTAGGCGGGGGTCACACCCACCAACTGGCCCCCTGGCACCGTGTACCCAGAGACTATAAAACCCAGCTCCCATCTTTTTATCTCATTCTTACTTTTGACAAACTGGCAGGCTACCGATTGTAACCTGCCCACACAGTAGAGCCTGAAAAACTCCCCGTGGTGTACCCAATAGGCCAAATACCAGTAACAATGATGGGTCTCATTCTCCTAATCCTGAAAGACCCTTGAATATGGCACTTTTTAAAAAATTCTCAGGGGTAGGATGAAGGAGACGTTACTGGGGCCTGCTCGAGGCAATTGACGAACAACAGGATGGTCGTGATCGTGAACAGTATGGGAAACCATGGTGCTTCAAATATCACAAAAGTCATTAAAAAAAAGGGCAGAGGCATAGCAACATGATGCAAAAATTCATAATTTTAACCCCTGTTTTTTATAAAGAGGGAAAATGTGGGTAAATCAAGATACATATGTAAGTATTTTTGAAAATAAATTTAAAAGGGCTGGGAGGATGGCACAGGGTCAGGCAACTACCTTGCATGTGGCCAGCCCTATCACCCGGCACCCCAAAGCTCCCCATCCCAACCTCCAAGAGCAGCCCTTCCTTGAGCACACAGTGGCCTCAGAGCACTGTTGGGTGGGTCCCCCCCCAGAGAAGAGAAAATAAATATTAAAACATTTGCTATTATTCAATGACATAACAATTTCAGAGTAGCCCACAAAAGCATAAAGCAATCACAGCATATGTTAACTAGAACAGATTCTGTGATATAAGACAATCCCCCCACTTTCCATTGTTATATATATTTTCACATGAGCAAATTAAGTCACATGCTGTTCTTGGTATGCTTTTATTGTGCTGGCATCTTGAAATTGCATTCTCTCTCATCTGGAAATTTCCTTCCTTCTCTCTGCTGGCAGAATGATCACTTTTTCTTTAAAATCTAGTGATCTCAAATAATCTTCCTCTAACGCCCTTAAAGTCAAAAGCTCTCTCCCTGCTCCTCCACTGAGAAAGATCTAACTTTATCCACTGTATTTCTGGGGGTGCATCTTCATCCTATTCTGTTTCTCTCAATTAAGGATAAGAACTAAAGCACTTTCAGGTAAATGCAAAACTTTAATGCAGAGTTAAATGTAAGTACTTATCTAAAATAAGACTTTTATTATAGAAGATTCTTCTTACTTTGTACTTTCAAATGCACCAGAAACTAATACTCTCTTAAAACACGCAAATAACATCATAATATCCTTTCAGTTCTTACTGTCCTCCCTTTCTACTTTGTTACAGCTGGAAATACTGCAATAGGAAAAGATGTCATTTGTATAATGGCAGGCTCTTAGCTAACATGAAATTAAGAAAGAACTGTGTCAGAGGTGATGAGGACAGTCAAAAGGAAAGTGAAAAAATTATATGAAAGTTAATATGATTATTTGGCCAAATAAAGACAGCAACTTCTCAACTAACAGACATATTCCAAAGTGACATCTTAAGTTAGAGATTTTTTAAAAAGCTCTATGTTTTGATAGAAGAGCTCTGTTTTATCCTTCGGAGGGCTAGGACTTTGTTTTTCCTTCTGGATTATAAAAATAAAAGAACTGTTATTTCACTCTACGCCTACATTTTTGGAACCAAAAATAGCTTTTGTTTGGTGAATTACCTTATGAGCCAAAACTATTTTTAAGGTAGACTGCAGAAATATTTAAAATACAGAACAGTAGTACAAAAGCAGTATTTACAGTGATGGCATAATAACTGCTAAAATTCAGTCTGTGATACTTTGATAATTAGGCATTTACTTCGAAGAAGGAATAGAAGTGTGAGATGAAAAAAAAAATAATAATAAAAAATGTAGGAAAAATATCATGCCAACCTGATCATCAATTCCGAAGTGTCCGTATGGCAAATTTAGAATTTTTAGATTGTCTCTTATCACTTGGGATAATAACTTCTTCTTCTTCTTCTTCTTTTGTTTTTTTGGGTCATACCCGGAGATGCTCGTTCGAGGTTACTCCTGGCTCTGCACTCAGGAATTACTCCCAGTAGAGCTCGGGGAAACACATGGGATGCCGGGGATCGAACCCAGGTTGGCCGCATGCAAGGCAAATGCCCTACCCGCTGTGCTATCACTCCGGCTCCGATAATAACTTCTTTGAACCCATAGTTTGAGTCTAGTTCTCAATGCTCCAAAATCCCACTTGGAGCTAAAGAACTAATACAAAGGTTAACGCACTTGCTTAGCCTGACGATGCAGCCGTGAGCCCGGTTCAAATGCTAGCACCTCACATGGACCCTCGGACACTGCCAGGTGTGTACTTGCCCCCACACTAGGTAAGTGACTCAAATCCCACCTCAGTACTGCTTGGCCACCACCAATAGCATGAATCTTTTGCTTCTCTGAGTTCCTGTGTAATACCAAATGGCATTTCAAATATCCTTTACTTTGTTCAAAAGAAAGCCTAATTTCTTTAAAAAGTGCTGCAAATTATCCCAAAGAAGACAATGGGTATCTATCGTCTTATTGTGACATAGCTTATTTCAAATCCAAGTTTTTTTTTCACTGCACTCCGTAAAATGTATGACTATATGACATGAGAAGAGCAAATCTTACTGATTTCTAACAAGCATTAATAAAAACCAAAATGCCAAGTAAAGCCCTCATTTTTTTTTTAAGAGGCAAAAAAATACTACCCTCTTTAGAGGACAAATAAATAATATACCTGAACCCTGTATTTTTATGATAGAATAGCCAAGGCCTTTTATTCTTTAGTTTAAATCAGTTGTTAAAATGCATTCATAGTCTCTTAATTCAATTTGTTACATACCAGTTAGCAATGTCCTTATGAGCTATTAAATTTTGAAGAAACGCTTGTAATCCTAATTGTCTATCTTCTAAAAAGTCGGCATTGTAATTATCTTTAAACCAGCGTTTTGGTGGAAGCGCTAATCGGAAGCCCGGAAACATATCTTTTAACTGAAAAACAAAACACAAGTTTCAACTTAATTACATCAGCAACAAAATATAGACGGCTGACTATGAGAAATTACTTATGAAATAACGTTAAGTTCAAATCTGATTCAGCTAAGGTTTTTTTTTTAACACCTTATTTCTTTGATTTCTAGTGATTTTGCAGTACAGTAGTTATAGAGTTATAGCTGCTCCATATCCTTGCCAATAAACTTGGCAAGCTATTTCCAATGCTAGCTGTTCTCATTGGCTATGTGATATCAGTTCATTGAGATTTCAATCATAAGCATTTCTGAGGCCTGAGAGATAACAAAAGGTCCGGGAAGGAACTAAGCGCTTGTCTTGCATATACCCGAGAACATGTGGCCTCCTGGAACCCACCAGGAGTGAGCCTTAAACAGAGAGGAACCACTGGGTGTGGCTCCCCTCAGCCCTCCCTCCCCCCCAAAATATATATACTTTTTTTGTTGATGAATAAGGATGAATATTTTCTTATATGTTATTTGGATCTGCATATATTCTACAGTAACTTATCTATTAAAATATTTTGACTTTCTCAGTTAAAGAAATTGTGTTGTCTTTACTAGTATATTGTAAGAGATCTAGATAAAAAAAACCTTTCTGAAATACATCTGTGTGTATAAAACAGTGTTTTTTTCCAGACAATGGCCTGATTTGTCATTTTAATAGCCTTAAAAAAGTATAAGGGGGGGCAGGAGTGATAGCACAGCGGGTAGGCCTTGCATGCAGCCGACCTGGGTTCGATTCCCAGCATCCCATATGGTCCTCCGAGCACCACCAGGAGTAATTCCTGAGTGCAGAGCCAGGAGTAAGCCCTGTGCATCGCTGGATGTGGCCCAAAAAGCAAAAACAAACAAACAAACAAACAAACAAAAAAAACCCAAAACACATAAGCTTTGGACTCAATTTAATTCATCCATCTTCTTCCTTCTCTGGTTCTGATTTTTAAGAAAATAACTAAAAAAAAGTCTGCTCATCCAAAATTGAAATTATTCTGTGATTTTTCCCCCCTAGAAGCTTACCGTTTTAGTTTTTTCATTTTGGTTTATGGCCTATTTTGCATATTTTGTCAAAATTTCATGTTCTTTTTGGGGAAACATCCCTGTGGTGCTCAGAGCACAGTCCTGGTGGGGCTCAGGGGATCTGATGCAGTGTTGGGGATCAAACCAATGTAGACTACATGCAAGGTAAGACTTATAAAACCCTTTGATGGAAGATTTTTTTCCCAATCTTCTAAATTAGAAGGCTGTTTACAGTTGCATCTCCAATAACTAGCATAACACCTGCTATATTACAAGTAGTCAATCATCCCAAAATCTGGAAACAACCTGAGGGCCCAAGAACAGACAACTGTTTAATGAAACCTTGGTACATCTACACAATGGAATACTATGCAGCTGTTAGGAAAGATGAAGTCATGAGATTTGCTTATAAGGGGACGGTCATGGAGAGTATCATGTTAAATGAAATAAATCAGAAAGGGAGGGACAGACATACTGGCTGTACTCATTTGTGGAATATAAAATCACATAATATGAGACTGACACCCAAGGACAGTAGACACAAAGGCCAGGTTTATTGCTCCATAGTTGGAAGGCTGTCTCATGAGCTGGGGGAGAAGGCAGCTGGAACAGAGAAGGGATCAGTAAGTCAACGATAGTTGAAGGGATTGTTCGGGATGGGAGATGTGTGCTGAAAATAGATGAAGGACCAAATGTGATACCCTCTCAGTATCTGTATTGCAAACCATAATGTCCCAAAGTAGAGAGAGAATAAGAGGGAAATGGTCTGCCATAGAGGCAGGGGGAGAGTTGAGATGGGAGGGGGAAACTGGGAACATTGGTGGTAGAGAATGTTTACTGGTGGAGGGATGGGTATTTGATCATTTTATGACTGAAACTCAAACATGAAAGCTTTGTAACTGTGTCTCATGGTGATTCAATTAAAAAACAAAAACAAAAACAAATGAGCACTCAATCATTTATGTTCAATAGATGCAGGAACAAAATCATATTTCTGCACTTAAATATAATGTAAAGGTAACGGTAAAGGCCCTCCCGTTGATCATCGATTTGCTCGAGCGGGCCCAGTAATGTCTCCATTGGAGACTTTGTTGTTACTGTGTCTGGCATATCGAATACTCTCGGTAGCTTGCCAGGCTCTCCGAGAGGGGCGGAGGAATCGAACTCGGGTCGGCCATGTTGGCTGCGTGCAAGGCAGACGCCCTAGCCGCTGTGCTATAATGTATCACACAGAAACAAAGGAAAAAATTCACAGGCTAAATGTTCAGTAGCACTGCACTGTAGCACTGTCCTGTTGTTCATCGATTTGCTTGAGCGGGCACCAGTAACGTCTCCATTGTGAGACTTGATGTTACGGTTTTCGGCATATCGAATACGTCACGGGGAGCTTGCCAGGCTTTGCCGGGCCAGCGAGATACTCTTGGTGGCTTGCTGGCTTCTCTGGGAGGGGCGGAGGAATATAACCCGGGTCGTCCGCGTGCAAGGCAAATACCTAAACCCACTGTGCTATCGCTCCGGTCCATTTAAACAATAAAAGACAAAAATTATAAAGTATTTGGACAACTGAAAACTCTGATTTGAGATATCAAGATGTGACCAGACATTTTTGTTTTGAGAGTTTTATATATGTGTTTGGAATAAAAATAAAATAGCAGTAGCCTACAAAAACTTAAAATGCATTTTGCCTGTAAAAGGTCATTTTTTGCGGGCGTTTAGGGCGGGGGATAATGTGGTTCAGGCCATATTTTGCAGTGCTCAAGAGCTAAGTTGGTCCTGTGCTCAGGGCTCACTCCTGAAAGTGCTCAAGGGAATCATAAAGTGATAGAGACAGAACCGTGGATGTCTGCATGCAAGACAAGCATACGGTAGCCTTAAATCTCTTAATATTTTAATGGCGTTCAAATGTATGATTGGCATTTTTTCCCCCTACCATTAAAAAAATTATCCTCAGAAGAATGCATTGTCCTGCACTGAATTCCCACTAAGCCTTTACCTTCTGGATGTTTTCTCAATTACTTTTGAACAACAACAACAAAAAAATGACAATTTGGAGAATAGTACAGGAGCTTGAAACATTAATAAATGCTAATTTTTATATTTCATTAAATCAATGCAATTTCTGGGACAATGACATCTTAAAATAACTGTATTTCTATAAAAAAACTTGAAAAAAGGAATGTACATGTTTTTTTGGGGGGGGGTTAGGATGGATAACTGAGCACACGCATATCATTTTACTTTTTTATGAAGCTCCACTGCAGTGAGGGGAAGAAAAATGAAATGACATTTTGGAAACGAAAAATGTAGAGTGACGACTGACTTAGAGAAAAGCGAGAAAATGCTCAAGCACATGAAAATCAATACCGAGTTTACATGGCAGAAACCTCAAATTGCTCAGAAACCGGCGTTATCAGGCAGGGGCTCAGAAAAATGCTCTCCAAAGAGTTTAATGAGTACAAGAGAAAATGCATACAGATGTCATCATCAGAAGGTCGCCCAAAACAGTCCTCTCTGGTTGCTTTTCAGGAAAGCTATGGGAAGGGGCAGGAGACAGCACAGGGGGTGACTGGGTGCAACTCCCAGCACTGAATAAATGATCCGTGAGCATGGAGTTGGACTAAGTTCTGAGCACCGCCAAATGTGGCCGCCACCAAGACGAGGAGACCTGGAGTGAGAGACACTGTGTGTAGGACGTCTGTTTTGCATGTGGTCAACACTGTAGTACTATAGCACTGTCCTGTTGTTCATCGATTTGCTCGACCGGGCCCAGTACTGTCTCCATTGTGAGACTTGTTGTTACTGTGTTTGGCATATCAAATACATCCTGGGTAGCTTGCCAGGCTTTGCCGTGTGGGCGAGATACTCTCGGTAGCTTGCCAGGCTCTCTGAGAGGGGTGGAGGAATCGAACCTGGCTCGGCCGGGCCTGCTGCTCGCAAGGCAAACGCCCTACCGCTGTGCTATCACTCCAGCCCATGTGCCAACACAACAAGTTCAATCTCTGCCATCCCAGATGGTCTCCCTGGCCCTGCTAGGAGCATTCTCTGAGCAGAGTGAAGCCCTGAGCACTGCTGGGTGAGGCACTCCTCTGCCCCAAACTAAAAGGTAAGGAAGTCAACAGAAGCCTCAGCCAAGAATTTCCACCCACGGGAGGCTCTTTACCATGGAAGAACAGAAATAAAGAAGACAAAGGCAACAGCAAGATAAGAAAAGGGAAATACGCAAAAACACAAATAAAACGATTTTGATAGTTAGTGGATTAAAAAAATACTACTTCAAGATATAAGAGTGGGGCATCAAGAAAGGGGGCCGTTCAGTGAATGGAGAAGACGGTCACGGAAAACCTAACAAATCACATTCACGGTGAGGAACTAGTCTCAAAGGTCGATTACATAAAACCTTGCAATGTACTGTGATAGAGAGGAAATCACAGGGCACTATGCTCAGTGAAGGGATAAATACATAGGATTTTTAAGAAATAGGTGGAAAAGCCCAGCAAGCTACCGAGAGTAACGGGCCCGCATGGCAAAGTCTGGCAAGCTACCCGTGATGTATTCAATATGCCAAACACAGTAACAAGTGTCACAACAGAGACGTTACTGGGCCCGCTCGAGCAAATCGATGAACAAAGGGACGACAGTGACAGTGACAGGTGGAAAATAAAGGAATAGAGTAAGCGATTTAAAAATGGCCAATAGTAATAACCCCTGAGAGTAGGCCCACAGAAATGAGACTGCCAAGAGGGTTGGGTGGGAGGGGGAGGGAAAGGTCATTGAGACACTAGCAGGGTGACGCTGGCTGCCTGTGGACAGTGGGTGTGGTGCGGGACACGGGATGCCGAGATGCTACTAACCAGACTGGCAATGACAGTGCTGAACCTGAATACCAACCTCCCACTCCGACAAGATCTTAAAATGCGTTTGTTTGGTGAGAAGTTAGAAAAAGAACCGAGAACACAGAAAGAATGATCAAGAAAGCAGCTCAAAAATATTTCCCTGAACAAAGGACTTAAAAAATGAAATGTGCTGATTAAGTGTACAACATAATAGAAGGAAACAAACCTATACAAAAGGTGAACTTATGATGATGATGATGATGCTATCATTATTTTTGTTTTTTGGGCCACACCTGGAGATGCTCAGGGGTTATTCCTGGCTCTGCACTCAGGGGAACATATGGGAAGCAATGGATTAACTTTGCTTAGTCATAAGCAAGGCAAGTACCATACTGGCTGTACTATCTTTCTGTCCCCCCCTCCCCTCCACACACAGGTAAATTTTAGACTGATTGTGTAGAGATCATTTCAGAGAACTACAAAAAAAAAAAAAAAGATTATAGCTTGATGACTTAAAAATTCTAAAACAAACAAAAAAACCCAATTTTCTTTCCAGTCCAGAATTCTGTGCTTGAGCCAAATTTCAATCAAGGATGGGAATAATTTTAGACAGGTGACATTTGAAAAAAACCTTTCACGGATCAGCCTCAAGAAATCATCCTCCTGGACAGAAAGTGAAATTCAACGAAGAAGAAAATGAAATCCAATACAAGAGAGGAGAGGAAAAATGCCCCCAGAAATAGCAGAGGAGGATGACTGACTGGACCTTGGGATGGTGGCGAAGGGGCCGCACTCTGGAGGAAGCACAGTGGAGCAGCACAAGTGAAATACACACAGGGAGGAAAAACGGCACCAAAACCGAGAACGGTAACACAACTATACTCACGTTATCTAAACTACTTTTAGGAAAAACAAAACAAAACAAAAAACCTGGAAGAGCATCAGAATCTACTTAAAAAGTCACTTGAGCAGTTTAGGACAGTGACCCATGACACAGATTTCTTAAGGAATACCATTAAAATGATTTTACTGTAAAGACCAATGTCCAGTTGAACCCAGGTCGGATTTTCACATAGCTCTTGGCTTTCTCATCACAGTAAACAAATAATGCTAGTGATCTGTTCCTATACGTTATGCCTGGGACCAACTGAGAACAATTATTTTAGCCCAAAACAATGTTTAATTTTGACCCGTTTCTTTGGATCTGTAAGTAGATCACAGAGAAAAACCTACTTTTCAATAGTGTATTTCTACCAAATACTCATCCTGCAGTCTACCTATCAATCTTGTCAGATGTGAGATGACTCTTTTAGGGGAACTGAATTCAGATTACATCACAGATTACAAATTTTTTTTTTTTAACCAATGTTAACAATGCTAAAGAATTTCATAGCATCAACAGGCCTTTTCTTTTCTCACTAGCAACTAAAGTAAGCGGATAATATAAACTCATTAAAGTCAGGATCATATCTCTATCGATTTTACATACCCTTCAGTAAAGGATAAAACAGTTCCTGTTTAACTTTTAGCATTTTACCTTTCACGCAAACTAGTTTCGGATGTTTTCAGAATAGCAGAAATGTCCCAGCAGTTAGGGAGTTGTGAAGTCATGCAGATGGGACTTCCCACCATCAAATACTTTTATTAGAGTATGTCAATTTAAACCAAGGAAAAATGAGATTCCCTTCACATTTTTCCCTTACATCAGCGAAGACTGATGTCAGATAAAGCTCCCAAATCTGATTGGGTCAAACTAAAACACAGCTTGAGGTGTTCTCTAGGAAGCCTCAGAATTTCAATGGAGGGCAATAACGTTTAAGTAAGTCAACTCAACAGAGAAAAGTTTCTAATTTTATTTTCCTGGAGGTATGGTTTGAACGATTTGCAAACCTACTGGCAATTTGTATTCTGTGGGTTACAGTACTTATATCGGCTGTATCCTCTACTTTCAGGTTTACTTTTTGAAATTTATTTTAAAGGTCTTAAATACTTAAAATTTTATTATCCTCCCTGGGAAATTCTACAAAAATTCATTACCTTTGCTCCGGGTATGAACTTTGTGATTGAGTTGCTAGATAGCAAATGGAATTCTTGCAAATATAATTAGGTTTCTAACAGCTGACCTTAAGACAGGAAGATTATCTGGGTGAGCTTAATCTTATCACCTTTCAGAAGCAGTTAAAAATAAAACTTTCAGGAGCAGTTTTTCCTGCCCTGTGGCGGAGAAGAAAGTCTAGAAAGTCTGAGGGATACAAAACAAAATGCAGAAATGACCTGGCTCGCTGTCACTGCCTTTGAAGACGCTGGGACCATATGCAAGGACTCAGCCAGCTGGGAGACAATTGCTGGCTGACAGCCAGTAAGGAAATGGGAACCTTGGCCCTGCAACTGCAAGAATCTGAAGTCTGCCTGCAGTCCAAGTGGGCCTGGAAGCAGGTTCTTCCCCACAGGGTCCAGACTCAAGAGTCCAGGAGAACCAACAGCTTTGATTTTGACCTTGTGTGACACGCGGTGGCAAATCCAGCTGAGAATGCACAAAATACTAGGTAATAAACAGGTGGGCCGGAGCGATAGCACAGCGGTAGGGAGTTTTCCTTGTGCACAGCCAGCCCAGCTGAGCTGGGTTCGATTCCTTCGCCCCTCTCGGAGAGCCTGGCAAGCTACTGAGAGTACCTCGCCTGCATGGCAAAGCCTGGCAAGCTACCCGTGAAGTATCTGATATGCCAAACACAGTAGCAACAAGTCTCACAATGGAGGCGTTATTGAGCCCACTCGAGCAAAATCAATGAACAACCGGAGGACATTATTATTATTATTATTAATAAACAGGTGCGTTGGAAGTCGCAAAGTTTGTGGCACTTGGTTGTGTAGCAATAGCCCACTAACACAGTTTGCTGAAAATACTTTCTGTTCCTTCTCTTTCAGTCCTGTAATTTTATGCATCTCTTTCAAATTCACACAATCATATCTCATCATTCCTGTTAACGATCTTAAGATTTCCATATTTTATACCGAACATAATTATCACGGGGCTGGGGATGAGGCTTAAATGACAGAGAACATGCAGGATGCCCATAAGACCCTGGCGTGCCTTAGGGGGAGGGAACCCGAGACACTGCTTGGGGTGAGGAGTCCCCACGATTCTAATAAAACAGAACAGAAATAAATAAAAAGAGCGACTTATTTTCCAAAAAGAGCAAATGCACATCAAAGGTGAAAGTTACTTTTAAGTGACTGACTCACTTACTTTGTCATTAAGTCTAGAGAAGTCCGTGTACCTCCTGAAAACTACCCAGCTTTCTTCGGGTGTTCTCCTTACGAGTATTTTATATACCTACACAAGGAGAAAAATATTTACAAATACAAGTAAACCAGTTTAAAAACTTGCACTTCACAAACCAGATTATAGTCATTATCACATAAAACAATATTAGAGATCATTTTGACAACCTAACATAAAAACAGACAATGTAGGTACCAAAAGCATTACCTTCTTCTTAAGAAATATGCATATGACAAAACTGAGACAATTTTTTTTTCTGTACACACTAATAAATTTACTCGGAAGCTTCCAAAATATAAGCCAGCATATTTTAAGACTGATAAAAAAATGAATTATGATTTTCAAAGATATTAGATAGTCACTATTGTCCTGTTTCATAAGAGAATTTTCAGAATCAACGATTATGGAAGTTTCCAAATAATCTGTTAAGATTTTCAAAGCTGAAATACAAACTAAAAAAATGTCCGTGTACATTTATTTATTTATAATTACAATTATCTTTGGCTATTGAATAGAAAAACTTGAAGCAATACGATATTATAAAGTATATTATATAAATATAGTTTGAAAGTATATAAGAAGAAAAAACTTGGTTCCATTAAAAAATAATTTTAGAACTAATTATGAGGAAGTACAACTTAGAACAGAGTCGGTGAAATATTTGACAGCTTCAGTATGGTATTTCAGGCCAAGCTAAATGTACAGTGCATACGAAGTACATTAAATTAGTGAAAGTCCCTTTGAAGAGAGCATCTTCGTAGTGCACAGTAGAAACTATAGTTCTAGAGTTCCCCTCTAGCTATATTGAAGGTGCCTGAACACTTCAAATATGGTTAGCCCATATTAAGGTGTGCTGTGAGTACGAAACACACACAGACTTTAGAGACAATATACAACGGCTAAAAGTACTTGATTAAAATTGTTTTACTGATCACACAAGGAAATCTTTTTGGAATACCTTAAGTTAAAAATTTTACTCAGTTGTAGACTTACAAATTTTTGTGCTTGGATTTCAATTATACAATGATCAAATACCTATCCCTCCAACTGTACCTCATGGTGTTTCACTAATAAAAATTAAAAAATAAAAATGCAGGATCTTTAAAAAAATTTTTTTTACTCGGGGCTGGAGAGATAGCACAGCGGGTAGGGTAGGGCGTTTGCCTTGCACGTGGCCTACGTGGGTTCAATTCCCAGCATCCCATATGATCCCCTGAGCATCGCCAGGAGTAATTCCTGAGTGCATGAGCCAGGAGTAACTCCTGAGCATCGCTGAGTATGACGCAAAAAGCAAAAAGCAAAAAAAAAAAAAAAAAAATTTTTTTTCTTACTCATATAACTGTACCTGTTTGTTTTAGCCGATTTTTGACTTGGCTACTAAAAATTAAAAATGCAAACATCTCCAGCATCTACAAAAAACCTACTGTTTACAAACCAGATCACTCTTATTGTCTCCCTTATGGACTGCTCTTTAAGTCTTTAAGAGGGACAAAAGTGAGGTTGTTTGAAAGTGAAAAACAAGAGATTTATCTTTGTAACATACAAAGGGAAGGATGATAATATGGATACTCTTTGAGTGTCCACAAAGTCCTGATCCAAAGCAGTCCCAAAAGAGACACAAAGGAAATATTTACTTGCCAAGAATCACCAATTCAAACAAAAGGGATTAGTCAAACTTCAGTCTTTTGAGTCTGAATAATAACTGATGCATGATAAAAATCACTCTGGTTTTATCTACATATAATCTGTATTTTAACTTTCCTGTTTTTTAAAAGAATGCCCCTCCTTTGTAATTAAATCATACTAGATATTCCTGTTTCTCTAGAAAAGATGAAGTATAGAATTTTGTATTTCGGCTTTCTCTAGAAAGCTTTATTTGTTGAAATTCTGCTTTCAATGAAAACAGTAGGCACATTACTAAACACTCCTAACAGCACTTAATTGTCTGTGCTCTTTTTGAAACTTAGTATCTACTCTTACTTACTTTTTATGGACTCGTTTTATTAATATTGCCAAGTAAATGATAACATATGCATAAGACACACTGAATAATAAAAATACTAATAAAATACTAATAAAAATAATAAAGGCTCACAAATCCGAAGTACACAAGTTCTGAATTTTATAGCACAGCGGCAGGGCGTTTGCCTTGCGCGCAGCAGGCCTGGCTGAGCAGAGTTCGATTCCTCCGCCCCTCTCGGAGAGCCCAGCAAGCTACTGAGAGTATCTCGCCCGCATGGCAAAGTCTGGCAAGCTACCTGTGACATATTCCATATGCCAAACACAGTAACAACAAGTCTCAAGATGGAGACATTACTGGGCCCGCTCGAGCAAATCGATGAATAACGGGAGGACCGTGACAGTGACCGTGAAATCGATGTGCGTGGTTGGTACTGAGAGCAGGCAGCAAAACATTTTCAACACAAGAAGCTCATCCTGAGTCCCTTTCCCATTCCTATTAAGGTCTCCAGTCTAGGCACTTGATTTTAATCACTTTTCCACAATTTGATTCTGAGATCTCACCACCCAAGCCTAATACTTCTTCCAATTAAGACATCAACTCAAAAAAATACATAAAACAAGGTGAGGGAATATCTTTATTATAATGCTAAGACTCCCAGGCTTCTATCTGAGCTTGAACCTCCCTAAAAGGTGCACAGATACCCCCATCCCCGTGGGCAACACACACAGGCACAAGCATGCGCCCACTGACACCTAACATCTCCGCTAGCTAGATTCTTTTTTTGTTGTTTGTTTTTGAATGGGTGTGTGTCTGGGCCACGGCTACTCAGGGGCTACTCCTGGTTCTGCAGTCAGTCTTGACTCCTGTCAGTGCTGGGGGACACACACATGCAGGGAATGGGACCACGGCCAGCCGCATGGTCCCAAGCAAGGCATGCGCTTGCCCTCCTGGACTGTCCTGGTGACCGGCAGGGTGATGTCTAGTAAGTATCTTGACTGCTATGTCTGAAAACCCTGATCTTACCCAAATCTCACCGAATATCAATCTTCTTATTCTCCTTGTTTATTAGGCCCCTAAATCTGGAAGCCCCCTTTCATTTCATTCCCTCACAACCAACTTCCACTGTATTGTCCTCAAAACAGATCCAGAATTTTATTTCTTCATGTACCTTACTCATGTGCCTTAGTTGTCATCCTAATCCACAAGGCCATCACAAGTCTCTGGGGAATACTGCAAGAACCTGTCATCTCTGTATATTCTTGTCCAACAAGCATTACTCTCGACACTGTCAAGGGTCAGGATAAACTTTTCTTCTTAAAATGTTTTAGAAGATTCCCATCTAGTGCAGAGTACAATCTAAATTCTTTACAGCAATCTATGCGCCCGACTTAACCCTTGGACTTCACTAGTTACTCAGTCTCCAAGTCACTCTGATGCTGCTGTCATTCATAAGGTCTTTGCGGGTGTTTCATCTGTCTGGAAAGTATCTCTCCAGATATTCTTATGGTTTCACTCTCTTTCAGAACTACACAGAATTTCTGTAAGGCCAGGGAATTAAACTACAATTTTAGAGTCTCATTTTTCTCTCATTGTGACACTGTCATGTGAAATACTACGTTTAAGAAGGTTTACTCTTTTTTCTTTCATTCTTTAATTCTTTCATTCACCTGAGCTGCTGGACCATAATTACCTGGAGCAGAACCTAGTATCTCAAGCAATTCCCCCCCCCCCCCCCCCAGAGATTCCCTCCATCATTTCACAAATTTACGGCATAAAATGTTGAAGTAAATACAAAAACTTTACTTTAAGAAAGTCCAAAAGAAAGAAATATTTCAAGTTATAAATGGATTTAGGTTGCTATAGTATATACACACTGATACACAAGGACAAAATATATGAACTAACAGTGACCAAAGGGGAAAATCATAAAGATTTAAAAATACCAGAAGGATAACCACATGGAGAAATAAATCTAGTTAAAAGATGTAAGATCTCTGTACTGAAAACTACAGAACATTATTAAAAGATAAACAATTTTAAGCGAATGAATTAGATGCATAGGTTCAGACTCACTATGGTAAAGATTTCAGTACTTGATTAGTCTACAGTGGTCTTCTGAAAGTGGGTGGTATCACTCTGGGGGCCACTGGAATGATGTTGGGGGGGGGGTGACTGAGCTGAGGGTATACAATTGGGAGTGCTTTTTTGTTTTGCTTTGTTTTTTTGTGCCACACCTGGTGATACTCAGGAATTACTCTTGCTGGCTCTTGGGGGGAACACATGGGATGCCTAGGATCAAAAGTGGGTAGTTGGTGTAGTTGGCATGCAAAGCAAATGTCTTACCCGCTGTACCATCACTCCAGCCCCACTGAGGGGTGTTTTCTGTATGTTCATTTAAAGAAGATAGATTTCCAACAGGGGAAATGGAGTGATTTTTTCCCCCCCTCTTGAAAAGGGTATGGAAGGCAAAATAAACTTGGGAACCTCTGGTATCTCCATACAAATCTCATAACATAATTATAACAGATTATAACATAATCTCAATACAAAGGGCCAAGAATAATTAAATAAAAAAAAACTGCTGAGCAACAACAACAAAGCTAGAGAATCTGAAGAATTATGTACCAAGACAACCTACAATTTTTTAGTAAGACAGTGTGGGAGTGGTCAATGAGGAAAAAATGGACATAAACCAGATTGAGACCTTCATGGTCGCCTGCATTATGATACCGGGAATAGTGCAAATGCAAAGGAGAATAGTATAGTCTTTCTCATAAAACCTAATCGATTAATGAACTGGTCCTATATGGGGAGAACGGAAAAAAGTGTCTCGATTCTGACCTTACACCCTGGACATAAAAATCAGTTCCAGACAATTTACAGATCTAAGTGTGAGGTCCAATAATAAAGCTTTTATTTTTCTTTTGAAACTTTTAATTTTTACTTGATCACTTGACATCCCGTTACGCATCGATTTGCTTGAGCAGGTGCCAGTAATGTCTCCATTCGCCCCTGTCGTGTGCTAGTGTACTAATTTTATATATAATTTTATTTACTATTATTATTATATTTTGTTTTGTGGCCACATCTGGCAGTGCTCAGGGAACCATGCTGGGGATTGAACCTGGGTCATTCCACATGTGCGGGCAGTGCCCTACCCGCTGTTCTACCACTCCAGCTCTAATAAATTTCTTTAAGAAGAGAATATAAGACTAAGTTTTTTTATGTTCTAAGTATGAAAGAAAAATTTAGAAACTGGGCCATATTATAACCAAACTTTTGTTTATGAAATAAAACCATTCAGGAAGCAGAAGGGCAGATCAGAGTAAGAAATAACAGTGCTAATACTGGTTCTAAAGAAGTACTTATTGGGGCTGGAGCAATAGCACAGCAGGTAGGGCATTTGCCTTGCATGCGGCCCAACCCAGGTTCGATTCCCAGCATCCCATATGGTTCCCCGAGCACGACCAGGAGTAATTGGCCAGGAGTAATTCCTGAGTGCAGAGCCAGGAGTAACCCTTGAGCATCGCTGGGTGTGACCCAAAAACAAACAAACAAACAAAAAGTACTTATTCCCATAATGCAAAGAAGATTACAAAGTGGAAAAGACTTTGCAAAGGAAAAATGAACAAAGGAAGGTCTTGAATAGATACTCTTGCAAAGAGAATATGGACAAAAATAGTCTTCCATTTAATTTCTGATGTCATCACATACATGACACAAGGCCCAGTTGGCTCTGCTGAGTTCTGTGAGCTCCAGTGCCAGGAGCACCACACCTGGAGAACACCCTGAGCACCACAGCTAAAGAGTGCAACCCATGATGAGCGTGTACTGCAACTAGGTGTGCTGGCTGTGGCCAGCACAACCCAACGTGCGAACACCATAGTCCAGTGAGTGACCCACTGGTCACTGCAACGAAAAGCAGCAAAGGGAGGGATTTATGAACTATAAGGATTTGGGGGGAAAAGACCTTCAACTTATAAAATTTATTTACCCTTCCCCCACAAAATAAGGCTGTGAGTTTCTGCAGTTGCCAGTTCAAACCACAACATCACCCTACCCATTGGACTAGATAAAAGGACAAACTGTAAAAACAACCATGCACTGGGGAGATGGAGTGACTGGAATCCTCACACACTGCTTAGAGCTGGCACACTGCTCATCAGAAATCTCTAACGCAGGGTGAAGGCCTGCGTATAATAATCCCATTCCCTGTAGACACCAAGTAGAAATGCACATATATACTTTCTGAGTGACTGAAACGAAATCCTTCACAACATAGTTATTTGTAGCCCCAAACTGGAATTGATCCAACTGTTCTTCAATGGTACAACAGGCAGGCAAATTGTGGTCTAGTCATGCAAAGGAATCACTGTCACTGTCCTCCTGTTGTTCATTGATTTGCTCGAGCGGGCCCAGTAACGTCTCCATTGGAGACTTTGTTGTTACTGTGTTTGGCATATCGAATACGTCATGGGTAGCTTGCCAGGCTTTGCCGTGCAGGCGAGATACTCTCGGTAGCTTGCCGGGCTCTCTGAGAGGGGCAGAGGAATCGAACCTGGGTCGGCCTGGCAGGCCGTGTGCTAAGCAAACACCCTTCCTGCTGTGCTATTGCTCCAGCCCACAAAGGAATACTATCAGCAATAAAAAAAAAATCAGTTGTCTACAATTATATTCCAGATCAAGAATGAATCTTGGAAACATGACGCTCCATAAAAGACACCACCACTAAAAGAGTATAAAAGGCTCCATAATTTCATCTAAAGTACAGAAATGGGCAAAATTCGGGCTGGAGAGACAGCACAGCGGGTAGGGCGTTTGCCTTGCACGCGGCCAACCCGGGTTCGATTCCCAGCATCCCATATGGTCCCCTGAGCACCGCCAGGAGTAACTCCTGAGTGCAGAGCCAGGTGTGACCCAAAAAGCGGGTGGGAGGGAGTGGAGGGGAGAAATGGGCAAAATTAATATCAAATTATTTACTAGGTTTTAACTGGTAGATAGCATGAAGGTGAGACTTAGGAAGGCAGTAATGCTGTTTCTTCATCCCTGTGTTAGTTTCAGTGGTGTCAATTTACAGAACTGAATTTGGGGGTGTAAAAACCATTTGCATTTTACGTTCAAGAAATTTAAAGTACAGGTGTAGGATAACACTGTTTTGTCCTTCCTGCATAGCCTCAGCTAGTTTCGGTTTATTGGGTTGCTCACATCACAGTACTCCCATTCCTCTGTGTTTATTTGTAACTTCTTTCTTTGTGCTCTGCTGACTTGTAAATATTGTTTTTCTCTTCTCCCAAAGTCCTTTGCATAGTTTATGCTGAGCAACTGTCCTTTTGCATGGATATAAGAAGACTATGCTTTGCTTTTGTACTGTGACTCTCAGTGATATTTTCCTCCTGGGCATCTGTTCTCTCACTTAAGCCTCAGCTGCCTTTCCTTCCTAGTGCCCACAAAAGCAGGGTGATGCTGAGGGACAGGACGGAACCAGGGCAAGCGGTAAGCTATGTGCTACCCTGGCATCGAGATGGGCCTGGCCAAAGTGCCATAAAGCTTAACTATAAGTTAAGAGCTTGGTCATGGACAAATGTTGACATGATCCAAAAAGCAGTAACTAGATTCAGACCCTGCTAGGGTTAGGAAAGATTAATCTGACCTGAGCACTACAGTCTGAGTCTGTGGCAAGATGTTCCCAGAAGAGCTGCCCTACAAGCCTCAATGTTATCTCTCAGTGTGTCCAGACAAAAATAACTAGTTTAAGATGTTGACTGAGTTTTTGGACTAGGGAAAGGAGAAAACCACCATAACTGCCCAAGGTGGTCAGTAAAGGCTTTGGTTTGCCTCTAAGTGGTGTTTCCTTTGAACTCGGTGGGCCCTCAGTAAGGGCTTTCTCACATTGATTTGGCTACCAGACTGGGTGTAACATGGTCCCAGAGGGCAAAAGTGGGAGAGCCAAGTAGGGGTGGGGAGACTAGGGAAGAGAAGCTGAATCCAGAGAGCGGGGATGGAGGAATAAGGAGCTAGGAAGGAAGAGTCCGTGAGAAGGGAGAGGTGAGAGAAAGAGCAGGGCAGCATGATGGAGAGTGAGAGACTAGCAAGGGGGACCGAGGGAGAAGGATGTGGAAGAATACAGGAGCAGGCACGTGGAGAGAGAGAGAGCCCAGGCTTCGAGGTGGAGCACAGAGAGATGAGCGGGAGAAACAGGAGGAGACGGGAATGAGGAACAGTGTGAAACTAGGATGGGAGGCTCAGAGAGGCTGGGGCAGGCGCGTGGGGAGAATGGAATAAACAGCATCTGATCAATCAACTGGCTTGGCCCTCGTTTTGTCCACCGTCTGCCCCGTGGCCCGGGCCACCCCGACTGGGCTAGTGGTCTGGGAGGCCCCAGAACCCAGGTAGCGAGGGGAAGAGCTGTTGGGGCCTCTCCCTGGATACATTTATACATACAGGCTGATAATAATAATTTTAACACCAATTTAGAATATACGGCAGTCAATCTTTTTCTACCAGAGTAGGGCAGAAGTCTATACTTACAGTAAATTTAGCTCTTTCTTCCATCACTTCGTAACCCAGTATCGTAGGTGTGGAAGGTCTATTTTCCCAATTCACCGGTTCGGGAGTTTGTTCTTCATTTTCTTTTGGTCTAGCAGAATATTCAATGGAAGAATTTGTACCTGTGAACTTAGTCCTAATGAGGGGACTGCTAGAGGCGGATGCTGTCGTATCCATCTGATAAGGGACACTTGTCTGTCTGAAATTACTCATAGTCGAGTCCTCCAACTGGCCTTTGGAAGAGGTTGAGCTTGTTGAGATGCTCCCAAAAGAAGAACTTCTTTGGTTTCTGTTGGTTGTAAAACTGGACGCAGAGTTGCCTATGGGCATGGGGACAGGGACATAAGGTGTTGCCATCTTCCTCCGGCCTGCGCAGCAAACCAGAACACTGGCGGTCCAAACACTCAGAGAAGAACTTGTATGCAATCCATTATTTTCTTCATGGGACTTTACTATCTAAAAATGAGAACACACTGAAGATTAGCCTCTCGTATGGAGCAGTAATCAAAAGAAAACCAAACTTTTGCACCCATTTACTTTGATGGAGGGAGTGGAGAGTTTGGGCCACACCAGGAGGTGCTCAGCACTTACTCCTGGTTCCGTGCTCAGAGGACTATATGAGGTGCCTGGGATTCAACCAGGGTCCACTGTGTACAACGCAAGCATCTTAACCTCTGTATGATCTCTCGGGGACCCCGCCCCCCCACACTGGTTTATTATTTGTAATGAAACATGATCTAAACAGGTAATTACAAAACATTATTTTCAAGAATTCTCATTTGCAAGGTAAAGACAGCAGAACTAACTTTTCTCGCTTCCTTTCTCTTTCTTAAATCCAGGAACTCACATAGGCAAGGCAAGTAAGTGCTCTACAGCTAAATGACATTCCTCCAGGTCCCCACATTTATTCCTTTAACTCTTCATCTCATACGTTATTTTTCCCACTTAATATCCCCCTGATGGATTTCTGCAACGTTCATCTTAACTGGATTTCCTCTATACGAAAGAGTGGCGTCTCCCTGAAGTTTCAGTCCCCGATTACGATCTGGTCTAGACTGCACACTGTACAAAGAAGTCACAGGGGAAGGTGCAAATCTATTCACACTGTCTTTACGATTCAATTAGTGAAACTCTCCAGAATGATTCAGGACAACAGAGACTGCTCTACTAAACTGTTAAGCCAAGGGTCAAGGTTTTTCCGAAATAAGAAAAACAAAACAACCGGTTAAAATTCTATAAAAAAAAAAAATCCATGAATGTCTCTCTCCAAGAAGTAATGCAAAGTTTAAACATTATTCAGTTTTCCTGATCATTAACTCTGCCAAAAAAAAAAAAAACAAGCAAAAAACAAAAAACCACCACAAAAAACCAAACCCTGAGAACTTCAATCTTTGGAATTCACACTTAATCATCTCTAACCTTCAAAGACTAGCATTTGGCTTAGCATGCGAATAATTTCAGAGTGCAAAGGAAGGGCTTTTGCCAGCAAGGAGCGAAATGACCAACCCCCAACGGCACATGGACCAAATGCCTTCACATAGAACTGCCAATCCAGCCAAGCGGAGGCGGCTTCTGGGCCCGGGGGGCGGTGGGCCACGCGTGGCCACCTCTTGGCAGGCAGCTGGCCTGCGACTAGGAGCCCAGCACGTGGCCCGGGACACCTACCCCGACGCCTCCCCAATCCAAGCTCCCCCGGGGCGGCTGAGCCCCGGGTCCCAGGGTGCATCCTGCCATGGACAGCAGAGGAGCCCGGGTCTGACACCTCCAGCTTCTCAAGGTCGCGGGGATCGCCTTGCCCATGGCCATTGTCCCCACTCCAGGTCACCCCAGGGGCTGGTGGGGGAGCCCCCCCAGCTCCCCACGTGCAGAGACGACGGGGGAGGGGCGCCCCCAACACTCCGGGGCGTCGTCCCGGGCCCCCCCCCCCCGGCGTCGCGATGCTCCCCGCAGGGCTCGGTCCCACCCTGCGCAACCTGGGGCAGGTGAAGGGGACCCCGGGGTGCCCCCTGCGGCGCCGCAGGACCCTCGGGACGCCGGGTTTGGGGATCTCCTCGCACTGGGGACCCCCCCCAGCAGGGCGGGGCTGGCCGTGCAGCCCGCGGGTCCCGAGACCCCCGCGGCACCCACCCCGCGCCCCGCCGGCCCGAGGAGAAGCAGGTGTCACGACCCCAGGGACCCCTCTCCTCCGCCCCCAAACCCCCGGCCCCCGCCGCAGCCCACCCGGGACAGCACGCTTCCCGGCGATCGCCCCGCGTGCGCGAACCCGCGTCCCCCTACCTGTCCGGTCTCCAGCCTCAGCACCGGGAGGCGCCCCCGGAAACCTCGGCCCCCGCCCCCCCAAACGGGAACTCCCCGCCCCGACTCGCTCGCCCCAGCCCGGGTAGCCGGGGCCCGGGTCCCGCGCGCTCGGAGGAGGGGCCAGGCCCGCCGCCGCGCAGGAAGTGACGTCAAGGCCACGCCCACCCGGAGGCGGACCTTAAAAGGGGCCGGGGCTCCCGGGCGGCCCATTTCGAGTAAGAACCAGACTTGATCTGCCCCAGTTCCATTGCTGTGTGAAGTCTTGGTAAATAAAGGCCTCTGGTGACGGGTTTTCCCGACAGGCGATCAGGAGGGCACACTTTGGAGGAGTCCCTCCAGCCCGCCCATGGCCGGCGCTGCTTTGCATCATGGGATTTGTAGTCCGCACCCACCTCGCTGCGTTGGGTTAGGGAGTAGGTTGCTCTCCAGAATTAGCAGTGCTGCGAGGGGCTTTGCTTTGCACAGTCGATTGTGAGAGAAAAGAACCATAAGTGACCTGCTCCTAAAGTAACCAGAGTAGTGAAAACCCCGATTGCCATCCAGCCGTATTCCAAAGAACCCGTAATGAATGCACTTTCCTAAATCCAAGATAGGTTTTTAAAAATTTTTTTGAATTTATGATGCTACAAAGAAGATAAGTCTTCATGACTGCTACTGTTCTTTAGGGATGTTAGGCTCGTATTTGCTAAGGAAAAAAATTGAAGGCGTGTAGAAATCCTTCTGAAAATATATATCAAATTCCTTCTCAAAAACCACGGTCAACTTCGCTCAGAACTCAAAGCCGCCGCGCTGTAAGCTTCTACTTTGGAACTAAGACTCTTGAATACATCAGAGTCCTTAAGACTAGTGAATAAAGCAGAGTGCTTTGCTTGAAATCGCATAATCCAGTGAATCCTTGATTCTCATACCAGTAAGCTTTTAACCCTCATGCCCTTTCCGGAGCACTTCTGTACTCAGGTGTGAACTAAACATTTGTGTTTTTTTTATTCCTGGGCATTTCTCTAGGGCTTACCCCTGGCTCTGCACTAAGGAATTACTCCTGGCGAGAGTCTGGGAACCATATGAGGTGCTGGGGATGGAATCTTGGGCGACTGCATACAGCACAAGTGCCCTACCCACTGTACTACCTCTCCGTCCCCAAAATATCTTTTTTTTAGCTTTCAACAAAGTCTTTACTGGTACTAAATAGTCAAGATTTGATACCCGAGAAGTCTTCATGGATTTTGTGTATGAGGAAGGCTTGCATTGGGTCGTTAAGGGTTAGACAAATAAAGGAGTGAGCTTGGACACACAAGGTAAAGTAAATAAAAAAGGAAACTTGAGAAAGACATAATAGAGTGTGGGAGAACTGGGCAGTGAGAACATGCCTGAGTGAAGGGAGTGTTGGGGTAAAGCTGTGGATAGAGAAATGCGCCCTTATTCATTTCTCAATTCCATCTGAAGTGTTATCCCATCAGTAATACCGTCCTGATTTCCACAGGTTGATTCAAGGAAACCCCCTTCTTTGTTTATCTCATTTGGTACATGAAGGGAGGCCATAATCACATTGTCTTGTAAGTTTTTATTTCTGTGTTCAGGCTGAGATAACATATTAGAAATCACTGTTCTGACAGTATTTTCTCTGGTACCCGAGTTAGGCAGGTAGTTATATAGAGTTTCTGTAATTACGATTTCTTTTTTACACCTGATCCATTTTACTTAATCCCATTTCCTCTAAGATCCTTGTACACTTTCAACTCCCAGTTTTCAAGAATAAAATCCAAATGATTTGAGTTGATTTATTAGGTCTCTTCTGAACTGACCTTTGTTTACTCGATAGTCCTAGTTCCCTTGATTAAACAGACAGCTATTTATTGAGTGCCTATCCTATGCAATGAATCTCAAAGTCCAACCATTTCTGTCAGTTCCCATTTTGAGTTCTCCCCGTTCCACCTATCTCTCTAGCCTTTGTTATTGCTTTTGCATGGGATTCTACTTTTCTCATTCGATGTTTGAGGCTTACTTACTTATGTTATGTTATGTTATTTATTTATTTGGTCACACCCGGCGATGCACAGGGGTTACTCCTGGCTCTGCACTCATGAATTACTCCTGACGTGCTCAGGGGACCATATGGGATGCTGTGGGATGCTGCAAATCAAACCCCGGTCAGCCGCGTGCAAGGCAAATGCCCTAGCCGTCCATGCTATCCATCATCCCCTGAGGTTTATTTTTAAGAGACTTCCTCTCCAACAGCCTTAGTCCCGATGTCTTCACCATCTTCTTTATAAACTTTTTTTTCTAGATTCAATGGCATCAAATATGTTGCCCAGTGCACTCACCTTCCTGATTGATATATGTGGTCTTGAAATAGAGGCTTCTTTCTCACAGCCTGGCAGTACCCAGGGATCAGGTGGAATGAATCAATGAATTAACACATGTAATGAAGATTTTATTTATTCTTCCTTGGATAAGATTGGAAAATGCACTGGAACATTATATATATCCAGTGGACTTTGGTTTCAAAGAAAAGTGAAATGGAAGTTCAGTCTATGAAACAAAGTGAAGCAACTGTGATCAAAGTGAAAGGGTTTCTCTTTTTTCCCCAAAGTTTTATTTGTAGTACTGAGCTAATTAGGTGATTTCTGAGGTTCATTTGGAAGTTAATTTATGAATTTATATTGGTTCTTAGTAACTTAAAATAGAGAACTAGATATCACAGACTGATTAGCAGTGTTAATTAAGATCTGTCAAAGGCATTGGGTAGAGTGAAAAGAAAGTGAACCCCCAAAGGTAGTACAAGGGATTAAAGCACTTATCTTGCATCCTTCCAACCCAGTTTAAATGTCTGGCATCACATCTGGTCCCCCGAGCACTGTGAGGAGTCATTTATGATCACAGAGCCACAGTGAGCACTGTTGGATGTACCTCTCCTCCAGCCCCAAATGAAAAAGGCAAAAAGGAAACAAAAATGCAAATAAAAACAAAGCAAAAAGGCAAATGCCTGAAATTAAATAGACCACTCAATCAGATCTTCCCATATACCCAGGTCTTTATCTAAATTCAATTTAGAAGATGTCTCAATTTCTATTATATACATAGGGAAGGAATTCTGTTTTCTGATGTTCCCGTGCCAAGTTGCAGCATCGCAGTGTGTAAGAGACCCTTCTCATAGTCTCCACCTTCTAGGTGAATATTGTGGACACACACAATAAACGTGATAAGAAATATGTTTAAAATGTAGCTAAATTTGTATTCTTTGAAGTAATAAATCAGTAACATGATCAAGAATGTGTCTCTCAAGAATGTGTCTTGATCACTAAAAAGAAAACAAATTTGTAAAAATCTGGTGGCACAGCATTCCAGGAAATCTGCCTCCATGTAGGAAGTGAAGGGAAGTTGGTTAGCAAAAGTGTCCCTCGTCCTTCTCCCAAGAGCTCTGATTCCAGGACATCTAATGCCAGAAATTTTTATAATTGCGACATATAATTCACATGTTTCTGAATCTTTGTATTTGACTGTTAATTCTCAAATCTGGTTAGTTTGATCTCCACTTCTCAATTGTAAATTTTCCCTTTCCTGCATATCCTTGGAGTCCCTGAGGGGTCTAGTACATGCCCCAGGGAGTCCTTTCGTTCCGGGTATCGTCCCCTGCTGCTCCTGGCCAAGTGCTATTACTTGCTTCAGCTGCTGGAGAGTCTCTGCTTGCCTTGACGTTAAGAGAAATCAGACCCTCATGCTCATGCAATTCTGGGGTGAAACTTTGACACTCCGAGTGCAAACCGGGGAACCTTGGAGTAATAAACACTGTTTACCTCTGCTGCCCTGGAGACTCTCATTCGGTGCCTTCTGGACTATCCCTCGAAATGGAGAACATTCACTTTTGCTTAAACCCTAAGATAGTGTAGAATATGCTGAGCGTGCCCTTTCAGTGTGGTTCTCACAGTCCTCTTTCCCCAGGCTGCACATCAAACACGAGTGACCAAGTTGGCAGCTGAAAAGCGGGCCCCTGAGTGGGATCTTTGTGTGTCATGGGTCGTGATGAGAGGTAAAGGTTAGGCTTCAGCAACGCCCATCCTCTGCTCATCACTGACTCCTTTCCTGAGCTTGCCGTGGTGGAAGCCCCAAGTGTAGGTCTAACTGCTAGTAGCTTACAAGCCTCATTTTGGATTTCAGTCTTACAGCCTGTCGCTGGCTATGATGTTCCCACCTTTCCCAGAGGTTCTGTGAGCTACAAAATCTTTAAGAGAATATGTTTATTTTCGAATTGTACCGAAACATTTTTTTTCTTTTTATTTTTTTGGCCTGGAGTGATAGCACAGCTGTAGGGCGTTTGCCTTGCGTGCAGCCAGCCAGGCCGAGCCGGGTTCGATTCCTCCGCCCCTCTGGGAGAGCCCAGCAAGCTACAGAGAGTATCTCGCCCGGCCTGTGTGGCAAAGCTTGGCAAGCTACCCGTGACGTATTCAGTATGCCAAACACAGTAACAGCAAGTCTCAAAAATGAAGATGGTAATGGGCCCGCTCGAGCAAATCGATGAACAATGGGAGAACGGTGTTTGTTTGGTTTGCAAAACGTATTGGCACAAAAAATTACCTGAGTGGGAAATTGAAACACTGGTGGTGGGGGTGGGGCTAAGTATAGCCATATGATATCTTATCTTTTTTTGTTTATTTTGTTGTTTGGGCCACACCTGGCTGTGTTTAGGGCTTCCTCATTATTCTATACTCTAGATCACTCCTGGCGGTGTTGGGGGGGGGGATCATATGGGATGTTATGGATTGAATCCTAAACCAGTATGTGGTTTAGTAGTGACATACAAGGCAAATGCCCTACTCTGCTGTACTGTTGCTCTGCCCCCTTATTTATTTATTTATTTATTTATTTTAAATATTTGATTTGCTCGAGCGGGCCCAGTAACGTCTCCATTGGAGACTTTGTTGTTACTGTGTCTGGCATATCGAATACTCTCGGTAGCTTGCCGGGCTCTCCGAGAGGGGCGGAGGAATCGAACTCTGGTCGGCCATGTTGGCTGTGTGCAAGGCAAACGCCCTACCCGCTGTGCTATCTTTTAAGCTTTCACTATATAAAATATGCTAGTTCCGACAGAGTATATGTTTCCTTGTTTACTTTTG